ATCGATGACACTTGCGATAAGTTAAGAGTACCCATGGTGACTTTGCTTTCCAGGATTTGTAGCTACGATTTACCACGAACGTTTGGATGCGTTCGCGGAGCAGATAGCATGTTGGCAATAGTGCTATTATAATACAGCCACTTGCACAGGCGAGCTGTATATGTGGGCAATCCCTCTCAATTATACACCCTCAGCGATAAGTCTTTGCGGCGCTTCGACCCAGCTCCTCCAGCTCTCAATAAACGCGACGAGCTCGGCACCCTCGACGACGCGATGGTCCGCACTCCAACTAACGCCGACCTTGAGGCGGCGCTCGCCGCGACCATCGCCGCGATTGACGTCCCAGACCCACCTGGCGCGGCCGATGGCGACGATGGCGACACCACCGCCGGGGACAAGCACTGGCGAGGCGGCCTCGCCATCGCCGATGCCGCCGACGTTCGAGACCGTGAGCGTGCCGCCACGCTTGGGCATCTCAGCGGGCGTGAGGCCGCAGGGGATCTGACGGCCGAGGTGCGAGAGGTGCTTGAGCTGCGCGGCGAGCGCGTACACGTTGTGCGCGTCGACGCGCTGGAGCGTCGGCGTGTAAAGGCCCGTCGGCGTCGAGAGCGCGATGTTGATGTCGGCGTGCGAGCGCAGCGTGAGCGTCGGCTTCTCACCTGAGGCGGCGTTCCACGAGGGCATGATAGAGGAGCGGAAGAGCGGCCACTCCAGCATCGCTCTTGAGAGGGTCTTCAGGAGGATAGGGAGATAGGTGAGCTTGGTGAACTGCGCGGAAGGCTCGGCTGTTGGAGGGCTGGATTGCGCGTAGAAGGCCGAAGGTGACACTGCTGGGGGATGCGACGGCTTCGAGGATGGTGGCAGATAATGCGCAGGAATATATGAGTTCAGGATGGGCATTATCTCGTTCAGTGTCGTCAAGTCTAGGCTTGTAGAGTAGCCGAAGTGTGGGATCTCCAAGCTCTGTATCGATGCCTCTGAGTGATTGAAGCCAATGATAGGATACTGTGACGCACCTTGGTCATCGCCTTCCACATGCCGTAGCGTGTACGTCCGAGCTCAATCACGGCGTCTTCTGCCTGCTGAACCTGCGGTGGGGCCTGCGTGATTGGTACCGCATTGCGCTCCTGGCCTCCTGCGAGGTACGCTTCAACATCCCGCCTTTCAATCCGGCCACCTTTGCCGCTTCCAGGAGCCAACTTAGCAAGGTCTACGCCATTCTGGCGGGCAAAGTATCGTGTGGCAGGGGTGGCGAGCACATTCTCCGCGTTCGTGCCGAGGGTCGCCTTGACGTCTTGCGGAGCACTGGGGTCTAGTGGATGATGCCTACGCACAGGCGTGGGTACGTCTGCAGTTGGCTCGACATTCCTTTCTGCAGAAAAGTCTTTGCTCTCCATAGCTTCCTGCTCCGGATGCGGAGGCGGGCTAGAAGTCTGTTCGTCTCCAGCATGCTCCTCGTCGACCTCAATGATACACAGGCCCTCGCCGACCTTTGCTACCTCGCTTTCCTTGACTAAGAGGTCTTTCACCACTCCGTCGAACGGACTCGTGATTTCCACACTAGCCTTGTCACTTTGAACTTCGCAGAGCGCATCAAACGCGGCGACTTGACTCGATGGGCTTACGTTCCTGAATGTCGCGCGTATATGAGCTTCCAAAGTGTCACATAGCTTCTGGATACGCACCATCGAATGACCTCGCATTCCGTTATGCCCTCACCAATGTCTGCGAGCTTGAACGTCCGCAAGACCTTCCCCCAGCATACCGCGGAAGAATGAAGATGTGATACACCGTAAACCGTCGCTGGACGCAGCGAACGTCCTCGAAGTCGAACTAGTCGTCCCAGCATTCCGAAGGCAAGTTCGCAGAGAGTGAGGACGAGAAGTGGAAGTTCAATTCTGGTATTTCATCGCTTGTGGACAAGGTCCGCCCGACAAGTCTTGGGAGTTGAAGCGCATCATGCACGATCTTCTCTTGACCTCATCTCAGGGTGGCACAGTGTAGGACCACTCCTTGGGACACGCCACTTTCTGCCCTCGCACAGCCTGTAGGGCCTATCGTTACCACTTTCTTGTATATAATAAATCTATATCTATGTGCTGTTGAAAAAATCAGAGCCGTCTGGTGATTGTAGCGTAGGTGGGGGAGCAAAAGGCCTCGATAATTGTCAAGCGCGCCGGTTTGAGTGGTGCTTAGACCGTCACCGGAGTTGCACAGTGGGCCTAGAATTCGCGAAGATATTCGGTAACACTCAAATTCATGCTCCATTCATGTGAAAAATGCGCATGATGCTCAGATGTTAAGTGTCGAGCTAGAATGCATTAGACATGATTCTGCCGAGCTCAGGCGTGGCTGAGGCGTGACGGATCTGACTGCCGCGTGACTGCCGCGTCAAGACCGCTGGTACAGGTCACAAATTGTCACTTTTGTCACATCAGTCATGGAGGCAGCCGCTGCACCTCAGTTTTGTGTCCTTCCCCTTAACTTCAGATTTTGTCTTTTCGTCTTGCAGCTTCGTAATAAGAAGTTTTATATGTTATAGTAATATAATGTAAATTGTTTAGTATTTATATGTGAGAGATATACAAAAGGGAAGTGAATTTTGATCAGTGCCACAAGGAGTGATCCTATACTGTACTGTAAGCAGTGTTTTTCCTGAGAAAACCTGAACAAAAGTGGTAAAATAAGGCCCAATTTTTCTTCGATCCTACACTGACGCAAATTGAGGACAGGCTGGTGCAAATCCAGCCAAAAGGGTTGAAAACACAGCGAAATTAGTGCAAAACTGAGTTTTGTCTTTGATTTTTCTCAGGTGAATACAAGAGAAACCCGGTCTGAAGGTGTGCCAAGGAATTTATTCTGCATTCGTTGTGCTCACGTTAGCACCAAAGAACTGCACGACCTTTGCCTGAAGCATTTCCGTGCGGCGGAAAATCCTTATTATCCGTACTTCTGGGTGGTGTTGGACGAGCGAACCGCCACCAATGGCACAGTCATCGTCCAGCATGACCGTACGCTAGGAGGACCTCTCGAAGAGATGCGAGTAACTCCCGCAAGCCTACGGGCCTTGCTGGCGTGCCTGTCCATCTGCGACCGGGTTATCTCGGAGATTCTGATCAACGACAGGTTAGTACTTCCAGATAAGCAGCTCTCTCCCGGCGCGTGCTGAAGCGCGCCTAGCCCTTCGACCACAGCAGCCTTCAGCAGGATGCCCGCGTCCAGGTTGATCGATTCGAGGCCAGCAAGAGCCGATCTGGCGACTTTACGGTCTTGCGTTTAGAAGACGCATCCAAGCTCCAGGATGCCCCAGAGTTTCTTTCGTTAGGGATAGAGATATTCTGGTATGGCGGGCTTCCAGAGAGGATTTTGCTTCAGTCTATCGAGGAGGACGAGGGACCGGGTAAGCGCGTTAAAGTAGTCACATACGCCAAGTAGTCGCCCAGACGCAAATAATTATCTCGAAGCCAAAGTAGCAGAGATTGCACTGTGTCGGGGTCGCTGCCGAAAAGCTCGTCGTCGTCGCGGCCAGGAAAGGGATTTGATCGGAGTTTGATTCCGCTTGACGCGGTGAGCGTCGCGTTTTTGGACTTGTCCTCGTCGTCGACCAGGACCTCCAGCACTTACTGCACCCCAGCCTCACGGCGACCTTACCGCATCCTCGTGGGTCTGCCATCCTATTCCACGTACGCTCGAATTCATTATGAATTGTTCTGTGGACTGACTTGCTATGCTTCCCGTCAACGTATCGCAGTATTTCACTAGACATCGCAAGCCGCTTCCCCGAGTGTTTGGTTGGACGCTCTGGAGACCATTCAAGGACGAGCTGATTCCACCCCGCAGGGCATTAGAAAGCCCTTTAGTTATTGGTAGCTCTTCGTTGGGAACCATGGCCGCGGTGGAGACGGCACTCACAAATGGCTCGAACGGGACACACACGAACGGCGCGCCGCAGGATGGCCCAGTCGAGCCCGTGATAGCATTTGACCCTACAATTTTTCATTCGTACCTGCTTGCTCTTCTTCCCCCCTTGCTCGCTGCATTACCAGAAGAATTGGAGTCTATATTTGACGATGAATTCGATGAACGCGTCTTCCGCTTTGCAGGTGAAGGTGGCGGAGTAATCTACGTGGTGAAGAAGAAGGACGAAGCAGAAGGTGTGTCTTGGTGTCGTTAGGTCCTAACCCCCGAGCTTGACGCGCTGCAGATGACCAACCTCCGACGTACTCGTACTCTCTCACTCCTCAACTTACCTACCATTCCTCGCATGTCACTACACTGGCCTTGATGAAGCGTGGACCAACACTAGACTCTACATCACCGCTTGCAACGCAGTTGCACATCTTGAACTTGTTTGGTGGGGACGAGACACCGTATGAGAGTTTGCATGCGGTTGTTAGCTGTGCTGTAAAGCCATGGTTTGAGGCCTTCGTGGGAGCGCGAGGGCAGGGAAAGGAAGGTGATTCCAAGATGGGTACGTTGTTCATCTTCCCGGTCTAAACGCGATGAGCGTAACCTGTTACAGGTATACCAATGACAAAGAAGAAGTTTGCAGAGCTGGAACTCTCCCTCCTCCATCTTCAACAAAATGTTGAGATACCGGAGACCCACTTGATCGTCCATCCTGTCATTCAGCGAGCTGTAGAACAAGCCCGGGCGGCAGGAAACCGACCCAGTCTTTCAGATATACCACCCAAACTGCTCAACGACTCGACATTCCTCAATACACTGCACAATCACGTCAACCAATGGATAAAGTCCATACAGGCCGTCACTAAACTGTCGCGAGACGTCTCGTCCGGTACCGCTTCGCAGGAAATCAACTTCTGGCTAAGCTTGGAGCGTGCATTGGAGGGGATCGAGAACCAGCTCCGTAGCGACGAGGTCAACATGGTCATGGATTGTCTTCGCAACGCGAAGCGTTTCCGCGCGACTGTCAGCTTCATCGCGGACACCGGTTTGAAGGACGCGACAGACACAGGTGAGTTCTCCGGAGGTGGTTGGCGAGGACTTACTCACGTGTCCCAGTTCATAAATTCAACCAGCTCATGAAGGACTTCCCATTGAACGAACTGCTTTCTGCGACAGACCTCGACAAGATACAAGAGTCCATCGTAATGATCTTTGGTCACTTGAATCGGAAGCTGAAGCTGTCCCCGTACCCCATTCGCCGTGCACTTCCTCTCGTGGAAGCAATCTCGCGAGATTTTAACGATCAACTACTACGCGTACTCACCTCTCACCGACTGCTCTATACGCCGTACGAGACCTTCGAGCGGCTCCTCAGCCAGACCATGAGCATCTTTCGGACATGGGACGACCACATAAAGGAGTTCACGAACGTTGCCCGTGAAGTCACGAGGAAGCGATCTGAGAAGTTCATCCCCATCAAGGTCGTGCCCGCGCACGCAAAGCTTCAGGACCGCATACGCTATCTCCGTGACTGGAGAAAGCAGCATGAGCAGCTAGCTGTGATGACAGCGCCAACCAAGGGCCTCGCTGGTGTCGGAACTGAGATCGGTGGGGTGGACATGGAGGAGGAAGTGAAAGAAGCGTACGAGGTCATGAAGCGAATTGACGTCTTGGATGTCTCGGTCGGTGAGTGTGGCTCTAACGTGAAGTGCGTCGCACTTGACTGAGACTTGTGTCCAGAGGGAAGCGAGATCTGGGTTGCTGCCGAGAACGCATATAACGAGCATGTCGCTCGCGTGGAGAACCAGATCATCGCCCGGTTGCGCGACAGACTTGGAACAGCGCGAAATGCAAACGAGATGTTCAGGGTGTTCTCGAAATTCAACGCCTTGTTCGTCAGGCCAAAGGTTTGTTAAGTGTAGCCATTGTCCCTTGCATAGACTCATTTATGTCGTAGATTCGTGGTGCTATCCAAGAGTACCAGACCCAGCTTATTGACTCCGTCAAGGAGGATATACAGCGACTTCATCACAAGGCGAGTGGGTTACTGTTTCAGCGTAGTTGATTCTGACGGTCTCCGCAGTTCAAGACGCAGTATCGGTTCTCTGAAGCGTACCACATGTCCCAGATGCGTGACCTACCACCGATCTCAGGTGCAATCATCTGGGCGAAGCAAATTGACCGGCAGCTTCAGACATATATGAAGCGTGTCGAGGATGTCTTGGGTAAAGGTTGGGAACTTTATGCCGAGGGACAGAAGCTGCAGTCTGAAAGCCAAGCGTTCCGCAAGAAGCTCGACACGCGCCCGGTCTTCGAGGCATGGTTGCATGACATCAACCGTCGGGATATGGGTGTCAATGGTCGCCTCTTCGAGATTGTACGCTTGCGTGCTGGCGGGTTCCAGCTTGCGGTGAATTTCGACCCACAAATCATCACGCTGTTCAAGGAAGTCCGCAACCTGCTGTGGCAAAACTTCCAAGTGCCACATGCTATCACAAACATGGCCAAGGACGCGAAACGAGTGTACCCTCACGCTGTCAGCTTGATGGAGACTGTCAGGACATATGGGCAGACTCTCGATCTGGTGGATAACAACAAGGGTATTGAGTGGTTGGTTGCCGAGTACCGGAACGAAGCTCAGAGGATGGTCTCAAGAGGTCAGAACTTCAGATACGTCCATTTGTTTACCAGCTAATATGTCCGTCAGGTATGAACATCCGATGGGACTATTTCGTGAACCAGTACGACACCGCGCGCTACGTTGCTTCCAGCGAGACCCGTGACAACCGCCACATCCAGTTCGTCCGCGAATTTGCTAGTGTGGTTTCCATACTGCAGGACAAGACCAACAATGTCATTGACTTGTACAAAGATATTCTTCGTGCCGTTGAAGACCTTTCAACTTGCTCGTACACCCACGAGACGTTTTCGGAGCTGCTGAGCAAGATCCAGGCTGCCGTAAGTCTCGTGTGCTGTCGTTTTGTGAGCGGTTTGACGGTAACTATTTCAGATCGACCGGCTCAATCTCGAAGGCTATGCAAACCTCGAGCACTGGGTGGCAGAGCTCGACCAGAAGATTGAAAGCATTCTGCTTCAGCGGCTGACACAGATTATCCAAGTCTTCTGTTCAGAGTTCGATCGAATCGAGGACGTCGATGGCCGTCGAGAACTACCGCCGAGAGAAGCCCCTAATAAGCGTCGCGGTGACAAACGGCTCAAGGACGAGAAGGCATGTTGGTACTTACCTAGCTGCCGGTGCATGTCTGATCTATGTCTAGTTCTTGGAAGGACACATGACTTTGAAGCCCATTGTGCATGAAATCCGGATACAAAACCAAGTCATCTTCCTTGACCCGCCAATGGAATACGCGCGTAAGACATGGATTCAACAGCTGCACGACTGGCTTGGTAAGTGTGCTATAAACTGGTGCATCGATGTATCCCAATGTATTGTTTGTTAGGTGTTGTCTGCCACCTTCGACGCATCCAAAGTTCACGGTACGAGATTGGTCTGCAAATGCAAGGCAATGTCGCCGCGGAGACGACGTATACCTCATTGGTATGTGAAGTCCATGCCCTCTATCATTCTGAGAAGCTAATGGAATGCATAAAGCTCACGCGTTTCCCCGACGCTACGTTGGAGCGCCCGTTCTCCCTCATTGAGAATAAGGTCCAACAGCTCAAGGAGTACGTCGGCAAGTGGTTCCAATTCCAGTCACTGTGGGACCTTGAGGCCGAATACGTCTTCAATCGACTCGGCGACGACCTCGCGCATTGGCAGCAGCTGCTAACGGAGATCAAGAAGGCGAGATCGACATTCGACACATCCGAGACGCAGAAGTCTTTTGGCGTATGCGTCATCGACTACGAGCAGGTCCAGGCGCGTGTCAACGCCAAGTACGACGCCTGGCAGCGCGATATCCTAAGCCGCTTTGGTGTGAAACTTGGGAATGCTATGAAGGAGATGCACGCTGCCATTACCAAAGCACGGCACGAGTTGGAGCACCAGTCAATCGAGGGCCTCGTAGGCGCACCGCGCAGGTTCAGTTAGGTCGGCGCTCTATGATGTCTCTTCTATCAATGTTTTTGGTTCATTTTTCATTACGCATGCATCTCACATTCGTTTGCATTCTGTTTCTCGTCTCGCAGCATTCCACATGTATCTGGATCATAGTAGTCGCGAATAGTCCTTCCTTCCCGCATTGTAATCTCTGTAATTCGGTGTCATACCCTAGTACATACGCATGCTCCAGAATGTTATGCACATCATCGTACTACTACCACCTGGGATAAGCAGATGCATAAGTATATCTCCGTTACAGCTGTCCACGGTTGGCCCTAAAGGGAGTAATCGGATGCCAGGTCTGTTTCATGTGTCGAAGGACGACAATTATAGGTATGTCAAATATAATAGCCCTCGCTGCTCTGGCGCTATCTGCTAATACCCGGGAGCAGGGTAGAGATGTCGTTAGGATCAGCACGCATATGCTTTGTACGAATGGCACGGTATCTCGAACACAGGATACTACGCACTCTGTCCTATGTGTGGAACGCAGGCCCTGCTACAATCGGGATGATTTCGCCACATTGCCTCACAGAGGCAAGACATCCCGATCGTCCGCGCGGGGCGACGGCAACCTCTGTCCAGTCGTTTTCCTCGTATCGCATGACATCGCTATCAATCTTATCGGCCAGAATCTAAGCATAAAACACATTTGGTACTTGTTCATCATATTTTCGAAAGGCTGAAATGCCACTGATGCATATTGGAATCGGATGTGATAGAAGACAAAAAAAGTCGCAGCCAACATCATTGAAGACGAGCACACTTGATCGTGAGAAACTGATGGCCGCCACCAGGATATGGCTTTCCTAAAGCATTTTTCTGCTACTTTCCCCGTCCTTATCTCACGCATAAGGTTGCACGACATTAGCATGCATTTTTTAGCTCACTTTTTTTTCTTTCTACAAAATGTATAAAATCAGACGCATACAAGCGCACATAAGAATCCTCCTCAGGGCTCAAGTGTACACGAACGATCCTTCGTTATAACCCTTCCTTCAATTGGGGCCGACCCAGAGCATTGATATTCAAGAAGCGTACGGAATATCGGTGTCAGCAGTGCATAAGACCTAATCGCCGCGATAGTCAAACGTCTTTCATACTTCGCAGCGCAAGATAAAGCTCAACATACCTCTCCGGGATAGATGTCGCTGCAATCGCTGTTGACGTTCGGATTGTTGGCCAGCAGAGTGCTACGGGCGACGTTCTGACTAGCCGTAAGCAAGTCGCAGTTGTCGCCGGTCTGGATGACATAGGTCGTTGCGCAGTCCTGGCCCGTGATTCCCAGGCAAAGCGGCTGGTCGACATGGTCAGCGCGTTGGTCGAAGCTGTACGAAGTAATGCTAGAATCACCTCGCCCTCGCCGAGGTTGTCGCAGCCTGCATCAATCTGAGGATTGACATGAGCAAGCTGATACCTATATATTAGGAAATGGGATTAGCGGTATCGGAGAACTTCAGTCAGCTCAGCTCACGTGGAGACGTTGAGGGCAGCGGAGATTTTATCGCACGTGTCTCCAAGCCGAACGGTGTAGTTGCGAGCACAGTCAGCTGGCAAGTCCGCACGCACTATCGCAGACTCAGATCGCGTCAAGCCAACCAGCTAAGAATGCCTTACCAGCAGAGATAGTAGCTGCAAAGGCAGCGAGGGTGGCGAACTGGACGCGAGTGAACATCTTGCTGAGGCCGGGCTAGTAGAGAAAGCTGGCTGAACTGGCTCTGAGAAATCGCAGAGCTCTTGCGAAGCTTTTATACTCCGAGCGAGCGTCCCGCTGGGAGGTCATGCGGACTGCTGTAGCCGCGCCGTTCGGGGCTTTTCGAGAAAGTTGACTTGCTCGAGGAATGTGCCTCGTCGGCGAGTCGTCGTTACCTTTACCAAATTGCAATATTGCGGTAGCGCGTATTCAAAGAGTGTGGAGTCAGGAGACCCAAAGACAAGTCATCAGATTCTTCACGGGCACCGGGCTCGCTTTGATTGTGCCTGGAGTCGCTTCGGGCAAACCTGACGGAGCTTGTGATGCGCCATCAATGACACCGCCGCGACTTTGGGCAATGTGACTCTCGCTCGTGAGAGAGCGCAGCAGGGCTCAAAGCTCAAGACTACACCTGCGTGAGAACACGTTTAAGAGGAGGCCTAGACACCTGATGCCAAGTGCTTTCGGCTCGTCGGGCACGCGGGGCAGTGACTCACCTACGTACTAGTACTATGCGCTTTTTAGGTCGCCCTTTCTCCTTGCTCGCGGCAATGCCCCTGTACACAAACCTTTAATAAACAGAATAGAGTCAATTAATTGCGAACATGCCCGTTGTCTCGCTCACCGAAGCCCGAAGCGAAAGCGCTTCTCGGGTGTCCAGCGAGCATCGGCAGTCGCGGAACTACATATTCATGGCAAATAACTGCTAACTTGCTAAGGCTGGTCGTGCGTCACAGGTTTTGCCTACAGCGATAAGGCAATGCTGTATACCTTTCTGCATTCGATGCAACTGGGCGGTGACTGAGCTGAAGAAAAGTATCCGCGCTAACCTATGGTAACGATGGTGCATCGGCGCCACAAAGAGTCGGGCCGACGTTAGGCGGCCCGTGTCACTGCCGCGACCAGTCATTTTTGTAGGGCAGTATAGGGGCTATAGAAGTTCCGTTATTGTCGGACATGTCGCTGCGGGTTTTATACGAGCATGTTTGTCTCGCTCCCGCGACAAACATCGGACAGCGTCCGGGGCTAGAATACATCGAGTCCTGAGCTGAGCTGTCAATCATAGAAAGAAGAAGAGTATAGGACTTCGATGGTGTGCATGCTTGACAGGCAGAACAAACATCGGTATCATAAAGCAGACTGGACGGGATCGTTTGCCCTGGAACGATGCATGTGAGGACCAACGAGCTATCACAGCCAACTTTTATGATCAGCAGACATGCATGGAGCCTTATGGTATGTGCGAAGCGGCTGTGGAAGAGTAAGAGGATCAGCAATAACGCGTCGGGCTAAGCGTAAAACGCAGACTTAACTTCGACGGCCGAGCTCGCTTGACACGGGCGACCACTTGGAGTCGGAGAGAAGCATGGTCATCATTTCTACCCTGCTAGGCCGATGCCGCTCATGTACATCCAGGCCCACGCACACCTCAGCGAGAGAGGAATATGCAAGTTGGATTGCAGTCAGATGCTATCGACGCACGCAGCGATACACTAAGCAATATTAATATGATACATCCATCCCAAAAAATCCCAGTGTAGAAATGAACAGACTAACATCTACCAGCGGGTAATGTCCGCCTCCGCCTCGCCAAACATGCTAGTCTTTTTAATGTCGAAGCCCTCCTCAGGCCGCTCCTCCTCGACACCAGCATAGTACTGGGGGAATTCGCTGCGGAGGGAGCGCATGATGTGGTCATTAATGAGCTCGAACTCGAGCAGGAAGCCGTCGTGGCCCTCGGGCGAGGAGATGATGATGATCTCGCTGCCTGGTATGTGCTCCGCGATCTCGTGCTGCTCACTTGGCGTGAACAGGCCGTCCGTTTGGATGCCGATGACAAGGGCACGCGGGGGCAGCGTCGACAGCATGCGGTGCAGCGCCGCGTCGTCGCTCTCGCCGGGCAGCTTGCGCTTGCGTGCAAGGTCGTGGGTGTCGAGCTTGCGCGTGATGTGAATGTAACAGTTGGCATCGAAGCGTGAGATGAACTTGTCGCCCTGGTAGCGCAGGTACGACTGTGCGGAGAAGATGGTTGGCTTCGACGCGGGCGAAAGCGGACGGGAGGATGAAGGGGAGCCAGAGGCGTCTTGGGACCGTGACCTGCAATTCTTCAGGCCGTCGTTGTGGGCGCTCAGCGCATCCTCGTCGACTTCGGAGGTGGGTGACTCCGGTGGCGTCGGGATGCCAGTCCTCGCTGACGGCTGCGGCTTGCGTCCAAACCTAGTCTCGAACGAGTCGCGCGAGCGGTAGGTTAGGAGTGCGGCCATGCGTGCGGCGGCCAGGCCAGAAGCCGGTTGCCTGAGGTAGTAGCCGTCCTCGTACCCAGGGTCGCTGTAAATACTCTGACGTTGCGCTTCTCCCCAGCTAATGCACCACGCCGAGTGCCGTGACGATGTCGCGATAGGGATGATGTGCCGTACATAACCTGGTGGAGTGCAGAGCGGCCACTCGAGCACAGCCATGCCACCCATGGACCCGCCGATGACGACGGCGACAGAATTCGCACCCAAGTAGTCCAGAACGAGCTTGTGCAGGCTTCGAGAACATGAGCAATCGGAGACGCCATGAATTTAGCTCGTGAGACACGTACCGAACATCGTCCCTGATGGTTGTCAGAGGAAACTCGGGTCCATAGGGCTTCCCAGTGTCCGGGTTAATGGTCAGTGGCGACGCTGAGCCGTATGGTGAGCCCATGACGTTGGCGCAGAAGACGAAATAACGCCTCGGGTCGAACGCCTTGCCCTTGCCCATGAGCGGTCCCCACCTGTAGAAGCATGTAAGGATTTTCAAGTTCTGAAAGACGTGTTTAGAAACGCACCAGTCTTCGACATCTGCACTGCCTGTAAAGGCGTGGCAGATGATCATGACGTTATCCTTCACCTCATTGAGCTCTCCCCATGTCTTGTATGTAACTGGAACATTGCGCAGGGTCTTGCCTGACTCGAGCGTGAATGATGGGACGACGAGGACATCCTGCTGGATGAGCGAAGCAAAGGGTGAAGTGGACATGGTGTCTTCGGTATTCCCAGCGATCAGTTGAGGGGGTTCTGTGGGAGTTCTGGCACACTCTGGCCTGTATCTAGAGGGAGAGCATTTAAATAGATATGAAGAGATAAAGAAAATACAAAAGGAGAGAAGGTAAAGGTGAGGCTATGAGCCGGCGGAGTTTCAGGAATGTGCGACTCGGGCTCTGCGGCGCCGAAGCGCCAGAAAATGCCTCCTTCTGCTCCTTCAGCATTGCTCTCAGCTCTCACTGCTTCCAAATTTCCTGGACTGCTGATAGCTGTCGTGATTGTGGCACTCGCTCTGCGGCGCCGATGGGAGCCTAAACGCGTCGCTGTGTTGCCTAAGCATCAGGAGAGGGTGGTAATCCTCGGTGCCACGGGGTACGATAAGGACAGTGCTTCATAAGATCATTCTCACACTGAAACCTTTCAAAATTGGATACAGCGGGATAGGGAGGGCGGTCGCACAAGGGTATGCTAAGCGAGGGGCTAAAGTGTGCATAGTCGGCAGGAGGGAAGAGCTTCTTGCAGAGACCAAGGCCGAATGCTGGTCCCTGCGCGATCCAGGTGTCGACAAAGCGGACATCCTGCCGGTCTCACTTGTCGCGCCTAACGACCCTATAGTTGCCGTGCAGGCAGATTTTACTGTCCCTGAAGATATTGTACACGTTCGAGGAGTCATCCAAGCCGGTGCGTCACGTAAATCGCTGGTCGCGTGCCCACGGTTTACTCACCACTCTCACATAGTCTGGGATGGCGTCGACACGGTAGTCGTATGCGCCGGCGTATCCTCCCTCCGTCCTCTACTCGAAATAGCAGACGTACGCCGCCCGGGCGAAGACCTCACCCTTGACGGCATCCAGCGAATCCAAGAAGTTTCCAACGCAGCAATGAGAGGCAACTTTAGCGGCCCACTACTGTCAGCAATAACCTTGGTGCGCCACAGATGCCTAACCTCAGTCCGCGTGTTATCTTTACACGTCATTGGCAGATACCGCTACTCGAATCTTCGTCGCGCAGTCCGTCTGTGGCGCTAATATCAAGTGCGGCCGCAATCATCCCCGCCCCCACGCGTTCACTGTACTGTGCCAGCAAGGCAGCGTCGCTTATCCTCTATCAGTCGCTTGCTATCGAGCACCCGAGGGTGAACTTTACACACGTCATCCCTGCGACCGTCGAGGGAGACTTCCGTGCGTCAGCTGTTGATGCAGGTCCTGTCCGAGAGGCATCTCCCAACCAACACGGTTTGAAGCGTGACTACGTCGCGCAGCAGCTTATTCATGCCGTAGACCATGGTGAGAAGGAGGTCCTCTTGCCGTGGTGGTACGTGCGATCAGGACACCTCCTATACTGGACTTTCCCATCCATCATTGAATACCTCGGCCGGAAGAAATACAAGTTCGCCGCTGCGACATAGCATCTTAGAATGAATCGTACATATGCCCACTAGATACCGCCTCGATGTATTGTGTACCCAAGATTACAAAATCTTGCACACCGCAAAACATTGTGAAGTAACATATGATATTGCCAGTCCTAGGCGAACAGCCACATAACGTAGCGGTGGTTTTCCAAAAATTGCTGGAGGCCGAAGCCAACAGACGAGTCGGATGTTTAATTTGCAATCAGCAAAAGACTGTGCCTCGGTAAAAACCTCACTGGCGACAGTACGTGCCCGAGCACAAGAATGGAGAATAAGGCTCGCACGGAGACGTCCTTATATACCTCGCAGCGCCCGCGCACGGACCAGTCTTGCTTAGGCTGGGAGCTGTCCTCTGCATCTGTACACACCCTGCCTGCTGCGCCGCACGACGCCCTGCTTATCCAATTCATAACATGCGACCGCTCATCGGGACTGACGCTTTTCGCGATCTGTCGCGATGCTGAGAGAAGTGAGCGAGTGCGGGCGAGAGAGAGCACGTGTGGCTGAGCTTTGTGCAGCGGTTCTGACCAAGCTTTCGTGTCAACCTTCACCACTTGCTGACCGGTACTGACGTTCTGTGAGGGTGCATAGATTTAGAATGACTATCGAGGAAAAGAATCCATACACAGTATTCGGATACGGCTCACTCATCTTCAAGGTGCGCTCACATCGGCCGAGATGCTCGATGCTCGTCAGGCGAGGCTCACTGTGAGGTCACTCCCAGCCGCCACCGCATACCATTCGACAAGGTAAGCTGACCAAGGCATTTATCCGAGAGAGACCGAGCATTACACGTCTACAGTGCCTGGTTTCTTGAAGGGCTACGTTCGCAGGTTTGCTCAGAAATCGCATGATCACCGTGGAACACCTGAGGTACGCCATGGTCGTACTTCACTCGTCGGTAATAGGTAATCTGAAGCCTTTCCCCTTCATAGAACCCAGGCCGAGTGGTTACCTTGATACACACAGAAGACTGGGAAGCTTTCTCCAGCTCGGTCAGTACCGCGCTGTCTCAGACGGACCTCCGCGTCGACCCTTGTGTTGACGGAATATACATCTTTTAGGACCCGTTTCCCGATGAAGATGTTGTATGGGGTAAGTACGCCGACTTCAATTATACCATCATGGTGCTTATTTCATGTGTTCAGGCGTTGCGTACACGATCGACCCGCAATATGAGTCCGAAGTCCGCGACTACCTAGGTACGCTCCGCCTTCGTCTTGCACTTTATGCCTATTCACTCCCCACCAGATTACAGAGAGAAAGATGGTTACACGATCGAGGAGATCGACGTCTGGAGCTTCGAGGACGGCCGTGAGGTCGTCGTCGCGCCAAAGTGCTACGTATGCCCCTTCCGCTCAAACCCCTCCGCCAGCTCCTCATGTCTACGCAGACCTACGTCGGGCTGCCAAGTAACCCTTCGTTCAGTACGTCTGTACCCTTGCGATGAGCAGATGGTGGTATGCTGACATGTTGTGCGCGCAGTCGGGTCTCAGCCAATAGAGTCCCTCGCTGAACGCATATGGCAGTCTGTCGGGCCGTCTGGCCGGAACAAGGTGCGCGGGACCCGTTGGTCGCTGTGGTTTCCGGGAAGCTAAGAATTACCGAGCAGGATTACTTGTACGAGCTGTCCGCGGCGGTCAGAAAGCTCGCGCCTGAATCTCACGACTCGCACTTGTACGCGCTCGAGGTACGCTTTGCCCTGGACTCCTGTTCTGGACAAATGTTGACTTTCTGAATTGTAGACAAGGTGCCGCAAGCTGGATGCAGAGCGTGGGCATGCTCCAGCGAAGTGATATGCGGACTAAGTAGATGTCTCACACATCCAACATAGACACCCGCAAGCCGAATATGAATACCATGGAATAAATGCACGAGAAATTTGTCGCGACAGTAAGTAGTATACAACATACTGAGTTTTTTCACAAAGAGGTAAGGAGGAAGATTAAAGGATCGTTGAAATTCGTGAAAAAGACTTCTGCGAGTACAGTAGCAGTAGTTGGATGTACGAATAAGACCAAACCCTTCTCTATGCCTAAATGCGATCGAACATCCGAATCAGGACAGGGCTGTTCATATATCTGTGAACCTTGGTAGTCCAATTTTTCTTCCGAAAACGCAGCTTAGGGCCGCGTTACGGAGCCGGCGAACGTGGCGACTGCACAATCACATCGACCGAGCCGTAGACGGTGCGTGCGGGAGCACTATTATTGACCCCGTTGGCATTTGCGCTGTTGGCATTCACGGCATCGCGGAAGGACATGGGCTCCGTTGGTTGCGCTCCTGCAGCTTCATTTGTGAACGGGGCCCGCAACAAAGGTGTGCGTTCGCCGTCGTTGAAAGAGTCTGCGCGGCTTGTGTGGTATTCAACGATGCTAAGACGGATATGATCAGCGTCGACCAGCAGGTGCGGCGGAGCTCGCTCACCCTCGCATTGTTTTAGCGTCCTTAAGCCGGCGGGCGCGCCTCTTGCTTTGGTTATCTTCGTACCGGTCGGTCTCATCGACGATCTCTTCTGAGATGATCTCCTCGATGATATCTGCGCGAGATGGTCAGCAAAAAGTCGTGACAGCATGAAGGCGTAACACACCTTCCAGGGTGATCACGCCGAGTGCACCGCCCTCTTTGCCGGGACTGTTGCTAATCAGGAGCAGATGCGCACGACCAGTTTGGCTAGCAGAACATAAATAATCTATCGCTGTTGGCACACAACCAGCTCACAAATAATCAAGCGCCTGGAAGCAGTTGATAGTAGGCGCCGCCTCGGGGAGGATAGACAACGGGAACTTGGACACAGGAAGCGCCTGGGACGGGTCATAGATGGACAGCTGGAGATAAACATGCGCGTGATCAGAAACGACAGGCACCGCGATCGGACGCCACAAACTTTCTTAACGAGCAGCAAGCCGATAAAGACACCTGGATGTCCGGTAGCGTGGACAGGGATGCGAGAATAGCCGCTGCCCAAGCTGAGGGATGACGACAAGACATACGTCAGCGGAGACAAGCATAGCGCGTTACTGCACTCACATGCTAGTCACGGTTTCACGGTCAAGGACTGTATCGGCACTTATGGTGACAACGTCCTGTCAGGAAAATCATCTTAAGTGATTTACATCTCTCGTGGACGAGATCAACACCATACCTTCATCGGTGTCATAAGATCCACAACATTTTTCTTGCTCAGCTCGAGGACACCGTTGAGAATACTAATCTCGTCGTCCCTCAAAGGCTCTTCTCCTTGACGGTGGAATTGTAGGAATGATCTGCAACACCATACGTTATAGAACAGCCATATATACTGTACGCATATACGCACTTCAGTTCAGCCTTCTTGTAAGTATTGGTTTCGCTCTTGCCCAAGACATAGTCGAGGAGTTTGGCAATGGGCCAGGCAACGGGCGCTGGTTGACTATCGGTATATGTCACGTCAAGGGTCAGAAAACAGGGTGAACGCACCGAATATATACATCATCGCGAGGACCACTGGAACACAGGTCGCGCCGATAGATAGACCATAACGAACACTGACGGCTTGTGGTATAATCCTGCGAATAGAAGATGCTTAGCTCGGTCCACAAGTCGCAGTATATTTTGTGACTTACTCTCTGTCATACCAAAGACGAGTGAGTCAATTGATTAGGTCCTTGAAAGAGTGACACATTACGGACGCACCCGAAGACGACAATGGCGGCAGTAGACATGATGATAGCAGGGATACCCCCGCCGAGCTGATATAGTCATCAGTGACGCGTTACAAGATAGCGCGGATAAACGCGACGCACAGCATCATCTAGGAAGATCGGTAAACTTTCGTTCACGATCTGCACCCCGACTCAGCTTTGCTGCTGGTTGGTGAGTGAGCGGACCTAATGACATACCACGTTGCCTAGTAAAAGCACCTTGGGATTTCGGTCAGATACAGGTAGCTCAACGACAGGGGGTACTGAAACGCACCACGAGCACCCAGTGGCGGCCCTTATTCAGGAGACGTAGCACTAGCGGGGAAATGTAAGAACCTGACGCGTCGATACCGAGCTATTGATGATCATGCCTTTAGCAGCATTTGCTCGTTCCTTGGGGTCATCAGAAGACGCGGACAGGACGCGGAGATGGAGCTCATCGAGGCCCATAAGCCCGAGAGTCAAACTACGAGCTATCGATCAGGACAGCCTCATCATTCCCACACTGACAAGCATGCTCACCCTGCAAAGAGACCACCTAGTAACACAAACACAGAACTGATGCCTATCTTCCACCAAAATTCGGAAGAACCGGGAGGCAAGCCTTTCTCTGGACTCTTCTGCTTCCCAACAGTGCCATTGACCACAGCAGGATAGACCTGCTTTGCTAGGTTGATGATGGGGACTAGCATGTCATAAAGGGGAGTCGTTAAGAATAAACGAAAAATGTCGAGGTCGTGGCCGTTGAGCTAAGGAGACAGACTCTCGAGGGCAGGCTGGGTAGAGTGGGGGCAAGTCCGGCTCGAAGCCAGTTGCACGCGCCGGGTCCGTCATTTCCGTATCGTGGGAAGATTAGTGGGGAGCCGCTTCCAAAATGAGAAATAATACGGATCATTTTGATGCGCCAGATTGCTGCGAAATTTCAGGCCCTTCACTCTATTGCACTCTCGAGGCTCACCAGCGGATGCAGCGACTCTCTCTTACCATTACATCTCGCCATCCTACTGGCATCCTACAGAAGCGATTCACGCATTCGAAGCTACTGCCACAACCCTCGCAACCCGTCGTCATTCGTAAAGGTTTCCTTGTGGGGTACCTCCGCAACCGAGAATCGCCAATGCCCACCGCCAGCAGGCCCTCAACGCCAGACGATGCTGATACGCGTCACATAGACAAGAAGCCCCGCTTACAAGCCGAGGTAGAAGGAGCCAACGATGCTCCCGTGCAACTCGATGCTCCCGCGGACGCTATGCCCGCCGAACCTGGGGGGACTAGACGGGCAAAAACGGGCAAGAAAGCGGTCAAAAGGGCCGCGCGGAAAGCCATGCTCAAAGGCAAGCTCTCTCAGCCAGAGCCGTGCTCGAACGAACACATCCTGTTTCTGGACGCCAAGGAGCTGCTTGGAGAAGATGCCATAAAAGCTGTAGAGGAAGGAAGCAAAGGGTGTACTGCACCCTTTGAGCTGTACACGGAACTCGAGCTGACCGTGTCTTCGATATCTTCCATAGGTATGTACGACCGCTCTTTGCGACGGACAGGAACGTCGAGCCCCGAAGTCCTCTGCTGCAGGCACAAGACCAAGTCTGTTCGTGTTATTCGTGCTACTCGTACGGACTTAGTCGTGTATATGCTACCTTGCGGTATCTTGATTCTGATTGTGTCGACTCTGACGTGTAATATTTTGCAGGAGAATCGCTGGCCGTTGCACCAGCTCCACATCCGCCATGGGTAATTGTCACGCCGTTCGCTTTACCCGGAGAGACAATTCGTGCAAGAGTATACAGCCATGGCTACTTCTACTCGCGTGCGGACCTCTTAGAAATCATCAAACCGAACCCTGAGTTGCGGGACGACAGCAGAGTCAAGTGCAAACACTTTTCGAAGTGTGCCGGCTGTCAATACCAGGTACGAGACTGGCTTGTAAGGATTTTCATGGGCTCATCTGTGGTAGATGCTTTCGTACGAGACACAGTTGGATCTTAAGCGAAATGTGATCATCAAGGCGTATAAGAATTTCGCGGGTAAGTTGCGTTTGATCAAGACATTTGCTACATCTCTCATATATGCGCCAAGACTTGCCTGCTTCTGCAGTACCGGAAGTCCAACCTACTATCAGCTCTCCCCTGCAATATGGTTATCGGACAAAGATTACGCCACACTTCGACAACCCGCAAAGTATGATCAAGCAGCATGGACTACCAACAGACGGGAAGCCGGCATGGTTTAAAATCGGCTTTAACAGTGCCGGTAGCAGGCATCCTATGGATATTGAAGTGAGTCTATGCCATTCTTTTCCCCTATTGCGATGAACCAACATTTATAGGAATGTCCTATTGCCACACCGGTCATCAGCGAAGCGTATTCGGTGCTCGTGAAAGATATCTCCGAGTAAGCTTGTTCTATGTCGGCTGAAAGTGCATACTAACCCTCAACAGAAAGCTCGACACATATAAAAATGGTGTCTCTCTGCTCCTTCGTGAATCATTGGAAATCTCACCCGAGCCTATCTCAAGTTCATTATCACTTGAGCAACCGCCTGCGCAACCGTCTGGCGAAGAGAAGAAGATATGTGTAACTAACCACAAGGGTACAATCCGGGAGCGCGTTGGAGACATGCTCTTCGAGTACACCGCGGGAAACTTCTTCCAAAACAACAACTCAGTGCTCGTGCCGCTCACGTCCTACGTACGGGACGCTATCTTCGCGCTCTCAAAGCCGACACACCTCGTCGACGCATACTGCGGCAGCGGCCTCTTCTCCATCATGCTCTCCCCGCACTTCAACAAGGTTCGCGGCATCGAGCTCTCCGCGGACAGCATCCGCGCAGCGCAGAAGAACGCGGAGCTGAACGGGATTCCGAGCGACAAGATTTCTTTCATGGAAGGCGATGCTGCGAACATCTTCGATACCGTCGCGGACTTTCCGCGGGAGGGGACAGCGCTGATCATTGACCCGCCGCGCAAGGGTTCGGATGAGCGTTTCATCGACCAGCTCATCAAGTTTGGGTGTTCGACCGTCGCGTACGTCAGCTGCAACGTGCACACGCAGGCGCGCGACATCAACATGATACTCCGCAAGAGCGAGGAGCAGATGGCCAGCAAGAAATACGTGCTTGAGAGCGTGCGCGGGTTCGACCTGTTCCCGCAGACAGCACACGTTGAGTCAGTTGCGATACTCAAGCTGGTATGGTACAGATAGCCTTGGCATAATACATAGGTATCTACTTTCCCTACATATTTAGTCGGGGTAAAGCTGCAGATCGTGGTGAGCTTATTCAAAAGGCGTCTTGTCGTAGCGACGCACCTTTCCGGGATTGAACAGGTTCAAGGGATCGATGCATTGTTTGATGTACTTCATCAGCTCAACGGTACTCTCACCCAATTCTTCCACCAGGTACTTCTTCTTGCCAAGGCCAACGCCGTGTTCGCCAGTGCATGTCCCGTCTAGGTCGAGTGCATGCTTGACCAATTTTGCGACGAGCCCCTGCGCAATCTTCTCTTCCTCGTCATTATAGTGGTAGATAATTGCGTGCAAGTTTCCTGTGCAAAAATCAGTCGGCGCCGCCTGCTTTCGGAAGGTGGGTAAGGACAGACCATCTCCAACGTGTCCTATAATCGGTACAGGCAGCCCTGCCGCGTCGAAGTCTTTCTTTGAGGCCGCCACCAAGTCCGGCAGACGGGATACGGGGACGCTGCCAACCACCAAAATGGTGAGTATCCTGTCCATCGCAACGCGAAACCGCGCTGAACCGGCCAGATATCCGTTCCAATCGCCTTTGCGCCAGGAAACATCACGAAGCCCGCGTGTAGGGCGTTCTTGCGCGCGAGCCAGAGCTCCTCGGCCTGCGCGTCGGTCGCGGCGAATTCAAAGTTGGTTCCGCCGTGTTTCTCAGCGACAGCGCGCAGGATCCGTGCGCTCTCCTCAATGAACACCGGTGTTGCACCTTGGATCTTGATGAACAGACTGTCCTTCTCGGGCCACGTCCGCGAGCCATTTTTGTTGTATGTATTTAACGCCTTCATAAAGAGCGCGTCGAGGAGCTCAATGCATTCTGCGCGGTATGATTAGACGAGGAAGAGCGAGGCAAAGGATGAGGGCGCACGCAGATTCACTCCATAATTCAGCGCCTCGGTAGAGGCGCGCGTTGCATGCTCGACGCTGGGGAACTGCACGACCGCGACACGCGTTGGAAGGAGCGGTGCAAGACGGATCGTAACCTCTGTCACGATGCCGAGCGTTCCCTCTGCGCCGATGAATAGATGCAACGTGTCAAAGCCTGCAGAACACTTTCTCGAGCGACGACGGGTCTTGATCACTTCGCCAGAAGGCAGCACTACAGTCTATTTGAGGCTCAGGCTGTCTTCACAAAGAATAACGCCAGGTTAATCACTCACCGCATTAAGGAACCATTCTCCCTTCGCCGTGCCGTATCTTACAGCATTAGCTAACAGACTAGGTGAGCACAACTCCTTTGCTTAAGGGAAAGCGAATTTGCGTACTGCCCGAGCACCCGGTGGAGATCATCCCACCAATACTTGCACCTATGCCCGGGTCCAGCTGTTAGATGTGAGCGACATGGTTCAAGATACCCAAAAGTTGTATCTCACAGGAAAAAATAGAGGGATGCCTTTCTCCTTAAGCATCACATTTATATCCGTCCATTTTGCCCCTGGCTGGCAGACCAGGTCTGCGTCCGCCTCTGTAGTATCGTCTGAGTGCTACCCACAAGTGGCTGACTAGAATGAATGCAAACCATGAATCTCAAGGATCTTGCTCATCGCGGACATATCTACGCATATGCCTTTTGCATCCGTCTGCGGCCGAGCTCAATGAGCGATGTTAAGGTATAAAGTGTCACTCACGCCATAGATTTGCCCTTCGAGACTTGTCGCGCCGCCATAAGCGACGATGGGTACACGGTACTTGCGTGAGATATTCACGATCCTCACGACGTCTCCTGTTGACCTCGGCACCACAACGACGCTATGAGGAAAGCCTACTCACGCTTAGTCGCCTTCCAGCTCTACAAAGCACGCAACTGACAAACAACTACTCACTATTGCTATATCCAGCGAGCTGGCCGTGTACATCTAGCACCACGGGGTCAGTCGACACGTCTTCTGCCGGGAATGCTATCCGCAGTTCGTCGATGGCCTGCGCATACTCTGCGGGCGAGCCATAGTTGCTGTTCAGCAGCACCTTTGTCCCACTCAAGGGCGGCCCCCGCGGCTGCGTGTACACAAAGATGTCCGCGTCAGACATGTCTCAAAGGCACGAGTCACTGTTGGTTCAGACTCTGGTGGCTGCAGATTCGCCCTTGGTCAACGCCGGTATATATTGGTTCCGCCTTAACCGGTTAACCTCTTGTGATCCGATAGTGGATATCACGGTCCCGGTACGTTATAACCATGGATGAAGCAGACCTTATCTCACGCAACTCCTTGGCCGCAGAACGCACGCCAACAGTCCAAAAACCGCGATATTGTTTTCCGAGCGTGTCAAGAAGAGCTGATGGAAGTGACGTACAGCCAAAGCGAGGTCTGCGGATGGTACGAAATTGTGTTTATCTATTGATTCATTCAATATTTGTCTTATTGCACCCTCGACAGGAGAGAGTGCGGATTCGACTTGTTACCGCAGATGGCGCATGTTGAGCTGATTGCGATGCCAAGACTTGTATGGTGCAGATAGATTCGGCGTGGCTCATAATACACAGGTACCGGCCTTTCAGTCAGGGTATAGCTACAGGATAGTGGTGAGCTCGTCTAGGGAAACGTCTGTCGTGACAACACACCTTTCCAGGGTTGAACAGGTTCAAAGGATCGATACACTGCTTGATGTACTTCATCAGCTCAACAGTGCTCTCGCCGAGCTCTTCTACCAGGTATTTCCTCTTTCCCAGGCCAACACCGTGCTCGCCCGTGCATGTCCCATCCAGGTCAAGCGCATGCTTGACCATCCTCGCGGCCAGACTCTGAGCAATCTTTTCCTCCTTGTCGTTATGGTAGAATATCCCCACGTGCAGGTTCCCTGTGCGAAAATTCAGTTGTCATCGATTATGCTGGAAGTGGCCGAGGACTAGCCATCTCCGACATGCCCTATCATTGGCGCAGGCAGTCCCGCCGCGTCAGAATCTCTCTTCGAAGCCACCACCATGTCAGGCAGCCGGGACACCGGGACACTGTCAGCCGCCTCACTCGTGAGCACCCTGCCTGCCCCATCTCAAGCTGAGAGAGAAGCTGACCAGACGTCCGTTTCGACCGCCTTTGCTCCAGGGAACATGGCATAGCCGGCGTAGAACGAGTTCTTGCGCGCGAGCCAGAGCTCCTCGGCCTGCGCCTCGGTCGCAGCGAACTCGAAATCAGTCCCGCCGTGCTTCTCAGCGACAGCACGTAGGATTCGCGCGCTTTCCTCGATGAATGCTGGCGTCGCACCCTGGATCTTGATGAAGAGGCTGTCCTTCTCGGGCCACGTCCGCGCCTCGTACGCGTTCAATGTCTTCATGGTTAGCGCGTCGAGGAGCTCGATACATTCTAATCAATATAATTAGCTAAAGACAAGTGGGGAATAAGAGGTATGCGCACGGAGGTTAACCCCGTAATTCAGCGCCTCAATCGACGCGCGCGTCGCGTGCTCGACGCTAGGGAACTGCACGACGGCGACGCGAGTCGGGAGGAGTGGTGCAAGACGAATTGTAACCTCTGTCATAATACCGAGCGTGCCCTCTGCGCCGAGGAACAACCGTAGGGTGTCGAAGCCGGCGGAACACTTTCTCGAACGGCGGCGGGTCTTGATCACCTCACCAGAAGGCAGGACAACAGTCTGTCGAAGGACCGGACTGTCAACATGCGAGCAATATCGTCGGTGGGCGGATCGCTCACCGCATTGAGGAACCACTCCCCCTTTGCTGTGCCATATCTTACAGCATTAGCTGACAGATTGGGTGAGCATAGCTTCCCGTCAGTCGACACAAGGCAACCTACTGCCCGAGCACCCGGTGGAAATCATCCCCCCAATACTTGCACCTATGGCGGGGTCCAGCTACCAGATGTGAGCGGCGCAGCCTAAACTACCCACGGATCGCGGCGCCTTACGGGGAAGAACAGCGGTATGCCTTTCTCTTTCAGCACTGCATTGATATCTGTCCACTTTGCACCTGCTTGACAGACTAAGTCCGCGTCCGCCTCTGTATCGCTGTTTCAGTATCATGGACAGATAGCTGGGGCGAATACAAACCGTGTAGCTCGAGGACCTTGCTCATCGCGGACATGTCCACGCATATGCCCTTAGCATCCGTCTGAAACCGTAATCAATAGTAGTCATAAATGCGAAAGAGTTCGAATGTCACTCACGCCATAAAAATGGCCCTCGAGACTCGTGCCGCCACCGTACGCGACAACAGGCACGCGGTACTTGCGCGAGATGTTCACGATTCGTACGACGTCTTCTGTCGACCTCGGCACAACGACGACACTGTGCGGAAAGCCTACACCGGCGCAAATCGCCCGCCATCAGCGTTTCCAATGATTATCTCTCAATGGGCGCGCTAGTCACGTACTTTCATTGTATCCAGCGAGCCGACCGTGCGCATCCAGGACCGCAGGGTCGGTCGACACGTCTTCTGGCGGAAACACTGCCCGCAGCTCGTCGATGGCCTGCGCATAGTCCGCAGGCGAGCCGTACGTGCTGTTCAGCCGCACTTTCGCTCCGCTCAGGGGCGGTGCCTGCAGCCCTGTAAGCGCAAAGATGTCGTCCGGACGGGACATGTCTTCGAGCGATTAGTACCGAGTTGATCGTGTAACTCTTATCCGACTCCTGGCAATTGCAGCAATCACAGAACCGGCACACACAGAGCCGTACTGTCCCGCAGACCGCCCAAACTCTACGTCCAGAATGGGATGAAGTTTGGGTTATATAAACCTCTCCGGCCGCGGGCCGCCTGACATCATGATGCTGCAGTACTTGCGCATGACAGGAATAGCATCTATTAGATAAGAGTACCCATGCAAGTGCCAGAAATCATGATATCGTGTATAGGTTGTGGGCGAGAGCTGCCGGAGGGTATCAACCGAGACGAGGTATACCGCGACGACGTTCACAGCTGCTGGCGCTTCCTGAAGAGCACCTGAGCCTTCATGTCTGGCGCGGTGTTCTGCCCGAACTGCAGGAACGGCGGCACGACACCGTCTTCCTCGGCCTTGACGTCGTAGTTGAGGACGACGTGTGCGAGCATGAGCTTGAGCTCGGTAGCTGCGAAGAAGCGTCCGGGGCTGCTCTCTGCCGTCAGCCGCTGCAATAGGCATGGAGAGAGAGAAAGACGAACCAGGCATGTCGGCCGTAGCCAAAGGGATGGTACTCGATGCCGGTGCTGACCATCAGGTGTCTGCCCGAGTCACCCTCTTTCTCGCGCATATCAGAGAAGCGCCATGGGTTGAAGGTGTCGGGATCCTTGTAGTACTCTGGGTCGTGCTGCATGGGCAGCACCGCGACACCGACGAACGTTCCCTCGGGGATGACCGTTCCGTCCGAGAACATGAAGTCCTTCATGGCCCGGCGAACCATTGTCACTAGCGACGGCCGTGAGCATCCCGTGATGCCGGCCTAGAAGGAGGCACATACCACTTCCAATCGCGTAGTACCGCTGGCTCTCCTTGAGGAAGCTGTCGAGCGTGTGCATCTTGTCCAGCGACACCTTGGACCAGCCCTCCCGCCTGACGACTTGCTCGATCTCGTCGCGCATGGGCTCAGCCCATTCCGGATGGGCCGCCAGTTGATACAGAGCATGGGTGAAACTCTACGGAGAGTGAGCGACAGAGAAAAGGAGATAGGAAGCAGGCCAACATTGCTGGAAGTGTGTATTGCAGCAAACTCGAGCGTCAAAACACGCGTGACAAGGTTGTACACGGTTCGCTCGTCGCCCTCGGCTTCGTCTATCAGCCAGCTGAGCAGATCATTCTGGTGCAAGGGGCTATCTCAGCGCAATACAAGGGTCGTTAGAGGTCAAACGCACAGGTTTGTCTGGCCAGTCCCGACCGTACTGCTCGAGGCATGCTTTACGGTGCTCGATTATCTTTTCGAGGTGTCTGCATCCTCGTCGCTTGGCAGCGGGCACCCGCGTAAAGAGTCGCGCCGCCAGTCTACCGACGGCGGGATCAACCAGTCAGTCCGAGTCCATATATGCACACCCACCGCGCGAACCGAACACTCACGGCTTGAGGAAACTCGGGAATTGCGTGATGATTTGCGCACCGTGCATCAAGTCACCAGTGAACTGTATTGACAGGTCCAGCCAGTCTCGGTCTCTGCCTAAGGGTAACCTCCCGTTAATTTTCGTGGCCGAGAGGAACAGCCCTAAAGGAACGCACATTTCGGAGCGCCGACGAACACCCTGTTTGTGGCCCTCGCTACGACCTGCATGATGGCGAGGTGCGCAACGACAGGCGTCCAGTCTAGAGACCGTGGCAACGTCGGATCATCACTAGAGTGAAAATAGGAGCAGCGAGGCGTACCATCGGTAGGTGGGATCTGGTCATGAAAAGCCTTGGCGACCTCGTCGCGGATGCCGTCAAACAGGAGTGCGATGTTCCTCGTCAGCTGCCCGCGGACGATCGGGACATGGTAACTGTTCTCGGCAATGCTAGGCCCGGCGGTGTAGCGCACTTCTAGGTTCTGAAACGCATATACGGGGCAGATGCGGGCGCTATGAGTTTTGCTGATGCGTTGGCATGACACAGTGTATGCGACGTACCTCGTGAGCAGCTTCCTCAAAAGAGAGCTCGTGATCCGCGGCTTTGCGGATGTCGTCGACCAGCTGGGGACCTGAAACAATGACCAGCCAACGATTGAAATTCGCGACTTTGAACGGCCGCCCCTTGTACTACGAAATGGATCACGCGACCAATCATTAAACAGGGCGGGTCGACACTTTGCGTCAGAGACTTTACCTTGGTATAACCCTCCTGCGTAATCTCCGCACCATACATCAACCACCGGACCGCGCCCCAGTACGATATAATGGGCGCCGTGGGTCCAATAGTGGGGATACGTTTGAGCTTTAGAGTAGGAACAGACCCTTCAGGACCTTGTGCGCCACCACCATCGCGGGACACGATTTACCTGTCGGCTGTCAGGCCAGAGCCATCTTTTGAGATAAGCAAGGGTGGCGAGGCTAGCGACCACAGAGGTCAATAACGTGTAATCTTCCATTTCTCCGGCCTCCGGGGCACGCAAGAGCTGGTTGGGTCCGAGACGGGGAAGCGTAGTGGGGGAGAAAGGAAGAAGTGGGTCGCAGCTACTCGGTGTACCACTCTCCCCGTGCTGGGTGAATTAACCTTTCTAGGCCATGAATCAGCCCATGGGAATCTTGACGTGCACACGCGTACCTTCCTAGCTCACGCAAGGCGCGTGCACAGCTTATGCAGGCATATGCAGGTAAGAACGAGCAGTCCGCACAGTGTCGAATCTGGCAGCGGTGGAAGATACTCCGCGCAATCCTGGACGGTCTTGGTCTCGGAGGGTTGGCGGTTCGAAGGAGACTGGCTCAGGATGAGAGCGCGGTACTCAGCTTGCCGATTCACATGCTTTGATGTTTGGCGCCCAGATGCTGATCCTTGTCGAGGCTGCTCGCTGCTAGCTTGCGTCCAGCTGCTCGCGTCTGTCCATTTACCTGTCCTTGCTCCCATTGCTCTCCTCGGATTTGTGACCGACCCTAGCGCAGTATGAACACGGCACAATGGTTAATCCAGCACAGCATCAAGGGCTTCGTGGCTTCTGTCTTGTCATCTCGTCACTGATATCAGTGAGTGTGGCTCTGACACGTAACAAATCGGAAAGTTAGCTTCGTCGTCGGCTGAACGGTGCCTCTGCGCATGCTGCTCTCATGATAAAGTTCCGTTTGAGACTCCAGGCAGATTACCGTACGGCGTAGAGCACACTGCGGCGGAGTGACGCGCTCGTGGCAAATTTTCTCACTTCTAGCCTACTCCACATGAAGCAAGTTCCAGGAACGACTCGACACTCTGCACTGTCCGGTGCTGCCCTCTCCGACGAGCCACATTTCCAACAAACCGCCAAGCGAGCGACGTTGTCGGCCGCAGATTCTTCTGCTTTTCTTGGGGGCTCGGGCAAAGTCGCCTGGGAGATCTCGACACTAGTAGCGCCAACGACATATCGTTCACAACGCACTTCTTTGCTTCCGCGCAGATCCTAGTCTTTTACTCTTGCTTCCACCTACTACCTCGAAAAACCGGCCGTTTAATGCTCCCCGGAGGAGCGGGCTTCGCTCGACTCACACTCCCCTGTTTAGCTCGAATTCCTTTCGTTCCTGGAAGCTAGCCATGGCAGACTCGGGCAAGTTCCCGATAGCGGAAGCCCAGCTTGTCGGGATGTTCATGGAAAGCGTGGCCTATGGTGCGTGCTTCTCTTCGTTCAATTGATCGTGCAACTCAAAGGTGATGTCATCTAGGCATATTCCTTGTAACGTTCGGCCTCTGCGTCAAGGCACTGTTGTGTGTGAGGGACCAGCTGGTGCTAAAACCGTTGAAAGATGTGAATTGGGGCATGTTCTGTGTCGCTGTTCTAATGCTCATCTTCGCCACATTCGACGGTGTGTCCCTCTCCCTCAGCTACTGCAAATCAACTAACGCCTTGTAGTTGCTTTCGGATTGCGACACAACCTGGATGCCTTTATCTTCTACACGGGACCTGGGGGACCTACTGCGGAGTTCCAGGACCTTAGGTCCTGGATTAACATTATGAAGACAGTTGATTTTGTCGCACAAACTTCGATAGGCGACGCTATACTAGTGAGTACGCTATCGCGTGATAGACCGATCTCCTCAACTGACATGTCCTCGAGATATACCGCTGCTGGATGATCTATGCAGGACGAATAGTCGTCATTCTATTCCCAATCGCGCTGTGGCTCACGACTCTCGTCGCCGGAGCGATGATGATCTGGGTTGAGAACACGACCGAAAGGAACGCGCTGATTGAGGATCCGCGCGTAAAACCCTGGCTCGACACCATCACCGCCTGCACACTCCTCGTCAATGTCCTCGTCACCTGTTCGTCCTCTTATCTCCCTCCGCCGCCTCGTATGCACATGGCTGATTCACAATCATGGCTTCTTTCCAGCGCTCATCGTTTGGCGGATCTGGCGTGTCAGGTCCAAGGCGGCTGCCGCGACGGTGCATCCGCACCGGCTGTCCCGGCTTATGCGAATCATCCTCGACTCGGGTCTGCTCTACACAGTTTGTGTGGTCATCTTCTTCGGCACGACGCTCGCGGGCAGCAATGCACAGTACGGCGTTTCGGACGTGGTGGTGCAGGTCATCGTGCGTTCGCTTTTTCCCCTTCTCTTGCGCACCGCGTCCCATTGCTGAGACGCGCGCTTTCTCTGTCACCAGGGCATCACCTTCAACTTGATCATCATCCGCGTAAACAACGGCACGGCCGCGGAGGCCAAGCAGTTCACGACGACGTCGGGGGCGCTGCACAGCATACGGAGCTTCCCTCTGCGCTTCCTGCGCACCCAGACGCTCGACCAGACGGCGTTCACGCTCCCGGTGGAGGCTACGCTCCCGACAGAGGTTGGCGTCGAGGTCTCGGTCTCGCAGCATCGCGACGAGGAAGACGAGGACGAGAGGCGCAGCATTACCAAGAGGCGCGACTCGTGGGAGGGCAGCGACGGTTTCGCGGTGTAGAGCCTCGCACGCGTATGTATCATTTTTGTACGATAGAGGGTTTGTCTGGATGTGCGGATGGTACCGCCAATGTATCAGTAGACATAGATTGTCGCCCTTTTGTACACCCACCTCTATCCCAGGACTCGCTTATAGATGCTAATCCACGTCGTTCGGCTGCACTGGTCCTGCTCTGCACGTCCCACGCTGGACGTGGCCCGCGTGAAAGGGTTGGTTGGGATCATCCAGCACGGTATCTCGTGCCACGGTGGACATGCGCTCTGTGCGAAGCGTGGGTATCAGGTACCTTTACTTAGCTCGTCCTGTGCGCCATACCGTATGCTGCACATGCCTCGCAGTCAGCATTGTTCCCCATCACATCTGCCCGACGCGCGCACAGCAGGCCGTCACACTGACAGCGTTCTGCTACGCAAGTGCCGCGAGGAATGGAGATCTAGCCTGCGGTCATGCCTCCGCGTTCAACGGCAGGAAGGCCTCGAGAACGGAAGATGATACCGCCACGGGGCAGGGATTGCCACATCGATGGCCTCTCAAACTCCTGTGTCTTGTTCCGGCCAACGTCGGCCGCCGAGCAATGACCGAGAGTTCCTGGGGCTGTACGCACGCACGCGTCGGCCACCATCAAGGATTTTGGACAGATAGCATCAGGGGCCCCCTGCGCCTTTGTGGCACCCTTCGCGCTTTAAATGCATCAGCCGCAGCACGTCCCACGTCCCGCGTCCCGCGCGAACGGCGAATCTGTGAGCGCTGAGCAGCGAGTTCTCATGCGTCCTTCGGGACGGGAGTAGTAGGGACAGCATCGCTGCCCACAGCCCCGCGTATGGGTGCTTCGTCCTCCGGTCAACCTCGCAGCTCGGTACCTGTATGCCGTGAAGGTTCAAACGTTCATGAATGGCTTCCGTATATTCTTCGACCGCTCCGTGACATCGAAGCTGGGGGAGATTGGATAGCGGGGCATATCTGCAACGCGGATGCTGATGCAAATTGCAAAACTTGCCTGAGTCTGGGAAACGAGGAAGTAAACTCGGACCTTGCCTTTCGACACGCCCGGAGACATGTCAAAGCAACAGCACACGCCACGTCTCCGGACGACGCACGTCCGAACTTCCATCTTCACTAAGCAAGTTGCTTCCATCCCTTCGCCGCGCCGCAGTTCGTTCCTAATACAACACACAGCCCTCGGCGTTTTCCACCGTCGGCCCCGTGCTATAACACGTCTGTCCCCAGGCGGCCGCGCATTGCATGGCAATGCTGCCCCGCCCCCAGCGCGGGACATCCCTCGCGGCACCTTGCCTCCCACCCGTCACCCGACCATCGGCTCTCCCCAAAACGGCCACATCCGCGGACATCAGACCCTGTGGGCGTCCCAGGGCCGCGCGTACCGGCATCGAGTCAGTTCGCCTGCGGTAGGAGACACCTCGGACGCGCCAGCTGGTTTGACGACAACGACGACGACGGCGACGGCGACGCGAGACAATAGCGTGGGAGCGCACCGCGGCGCAGGGACGCGGTGCCTTTGCGTCCGTGACGACCACTGCGTCCTGCGCAGCAGCCGGCCAGCCAGCCAACCAGTGTCGAGGCCGAGGAGCAGCAGCAGCAAGCCGCGATTGGCGCGGAGCCCAACCTCGGATCTTGGGTCCTGCTCATGTTTTCTGCCCGCGTCTCGCGGGACATCCGGCGGCGCCGTTGTTGCGACGGAGTCGGATGCACGAGGGCCATGACGAACGGGACATGTATGCACGCCCATATGGCGCGTCGGCGTATACGGTTGGTCCGGGAACCCTATTCCGACGGTAGATATAAGACCGCGGGGTATCGTCGCGTCGTGCTCCCGTTCCTGTTCCCCTTTCTTCCCCTCCTCGTTACAGGTTTATTTTTTGCTCACAGGGGCGACCGTCGTCCGAGTACACAGCATACAAGAGAGACTCCAGATTAAAATCGGCCAAGATTATAATTTTACACCAAAAGCAGCATCGACAGCGACACAAGGAACGGAAGATCGAGGAACACAGAGTGGGAAACGCGAGTGGTATAATGATGGTGATGATGCAGGTGGGTGGTTCATGCCCTAAGCAATTCAGGGGTGCGACAGCAAGTTGAGAAGAGAACCCTCCAGGTCTCCATCGATAAGTGAAAAACAGCAGGTCAAGAAAAGAGAGAGAGAGAAAGTGTTCGTGATCGCACCGGACGTGATGTGAGAGAGCAAACTTCTTGTGTAAAGGAGAGGGGCCGCCTTCTGCGGGGCTGGGTAATAAACCATGCCCTTGGGTCGCATGTAGCGTGGCGAACGCAAGAGCGGCATTGGCTCGCCCTGCGCGCACGGGTTGCGGCACGACGTCGGCGCATATTAAGCACCACACGGCGTCGTGCAAAAAGGCTCAGACGCTTGATCAAAGCATCACCGACCGAATCTTTGGGTTTGGGAAAGGGGTCAGAGGAATCGTTCACGTATACGTGCTCGGAAGTCCGCTGAAACGAATGAGAACTCACATTCCGGCTGATGATCGTGCTGCACGATCATGATCGAGACCACGACGACGGGAGGTAACGAGCATCCGGCGCGCATTAGCGTAAGGCAGGGTCCGCGTGTGAATTTGGGTTTCGTTCACAATTGTGGCATTTGATGCGGAGAGGGTTCCGTTGAGGAGGGTAGCGTGAAAAAAAAGAGATGACATGAGTTACGATCATGGACATAATTACCGCGAAAGGTATGGGAAACATAGCGTGGAAAAGAGAATTACACGAAGAAAGTATCGATACGAAATGAAGGGGCGTCAAGGCGCGAACGACGAATGCGAAGAGGTGACGCGGCAGACTGCATATAGATAATAATATAGAATAACGCCAAAAACATTGCTCATGTCGCGGACAGCCGAGATGCTGCTACTGCTGCCGCTTGCGCCTGAACCGAAAATGACGCGAGTGGTCATATCAGGGCGGCATTTTCGAGACTATGCCGGAGGATGATGCTGGAAAGGGAAACGAGGCAGGAGGTTGAGCAGATGTACGTTACCGGAAGCAGTTTCAAAAGGGGTAACACATGGGAAAGTTGAAAAAGGAAGGAAGGACTCACTCTGCAAGGCAGCTGGTCAGAACTCGTAAAAACGCCGAAGACAGAGGTACGTACCTTCAACGGCGGCCATGACAACTCGTAGCATGTTGGTGTCGGTAGCAGTCGTGATGCTTGATTGGTACTGGTCAGTACTACAGAGAACCAAGAGCGCATCGCCACGACACAGGAAGAAGACGTACTGGATGTATATCTCACGTTCCTTCTGGTTGGCCTTCTGTGCGAGTCTTGCGAACCGCTTCTTGAAGTACTCCTGTCCGGCTTGCGGGTCTCCGGATTCGCCGTCGTAGTCCTTCATGATGGCCTGTCAGTCGAGCTGTCGAAGCGTGGAAAAGATGAACTCACTGGGAAGTAGTTGTTGATATCCGAATATCTTATCTTATTCTGGAAGAGATCATATTTATTCAGGAACAGAATCTGTTCGCGGGTCAGCACGGCCTTTACGTCGGTACAGGACAGCATGTCTTACGATTGATGTCGACTTGAACCACTGCGAGTGACATATTGAATCCCAGATGGTCATGGCGTCTTGCATTTGGTTCTGCGGAAGCGGCTGAAGTGAGCAAAGCGCACCTAGAAGCGGACGTACTACTCACGGCGTCCCTGTCTTCAATCAGACATTGGTCGTAACCACTTAGGCTGACGAGGAACAAGATGCTCGTGACGTCCTGGAAACAGTGAATCCACTTCCGGCGCTCGCTCTTCTGACCACCGACGTCGACCATCAGCATCTCATGGTCGCGGAGCTGGAAGCGTGTTTCAGTGATACCGATCGTCCGTGCCCGGGTATGGACAATATCCTGCTCAGACGGTTGGTACGACGGTTCAAACAGCCGGTTGAGGTCAGCATAGAAGTAAGCCAGGCTGGGCAAACGTGAGCACGAGCCGGGACGGTGAAATGAAACAAAGGCGTACTTTTCTGGGATGGCGGCCTCGTTGCCACGGTCCCAGCACTTCTGAACGCTGGGGTCTTCCCACAGCTTCTGCAGTGGTTCATGGAACTCCTTTGGGAACGGCTGGTTGTCCCTAAGGTCCTGCGCTTCCTCGACGAGCCTGAGATATGGCAAGTTCTCCTCCGACACCTCGAGATTCATATCCTCCATGGCGTCGAGCAGATACTTGAAACCGAGAGTGAGGTTGTTGAAGACGAGCTGCCGATAGGACTCGACCTCCTGGGCGTTGAACGGCACGCTGTGGATGAGGCGCATTTGCTTCAGGATGGTTGACTTTCCAGAGTCACCGGACCCGAGGAGCAACACCTTATCAGACGGGAACTAAGCACTCGACGTCGTTGCTAGAGCGCGAACGAGACGCACCTTGACCTGGCGAGCCATTTGCACCTTGGCCTAGCTCCACAGCTCAGGGCGCTGCGCAGCAGACACGGCTAGACGGGACGCACCTCCTTCAAGTTCTTCTCTGCCTCTCGATGCAGCCGCTTGTCCTCTTCCGAGACCTCGATGCCTTGTGCCGACATGCAGGCTCCCATGGTGGATACTCAAACACAGTTATCGGGGGAGAACGGAGAAGAAGACGCGACCGAGTTGAGCGGTTGGCTGTGGTTATGGGTGGTGGGGTTGCAAAGGAGAGAGTGATGTTCTGCCTCGGGTCAACGCTGAGACAACAGTTCCCGAAGCACTTGAGAGATGATGGACCGATAGATCTCGGCCGAATACTCACCGGCGAGGACCGCAGGAAGATAAAAAGAATATTAGATACAATGAGGAAGGAAAGGGAACGACAGAGAGACAGGTGGTGGGAGGAAGGAGAGGTGGACGAGCCGAGCGAGATGTCGCACGCACCGTCAGATGTCGATGCCGGCAAGTGACCAGGGACCTGAAGGCTGTCGTCAGATCCGCTTACAAGCCTATTCACAGCTAACTGATCGGAGTTTGATTTATCAGAACGCTCGTCTTACCAGCTCACAAGAGCTCCTTACCCCTCCATACCAGTACTAGTCGCGATCACGCGGTGTTAGCGAGATATGGCACCGCGATCGTGTCTCGATCTTTTCTGACGCCACCACGTCTCCAGACAGGCACAGATTGTCGGGCCAATAATTCAGTTATTTACGCAGGGCACCTGCGAAGACGAGCAGCTTTGAACAGCGAAAAAAAAAAAAAAAACTGTATACAGCGGGGCACATGGGTAACGCTTCGGCGTCTTCGGAGAAGGCCGCCCAGCCCAGCCCAGGGCCACCCCGCCAGCGCATCACCCTTGTTTCTACGCGGGCGGCGGGATTGGGTCTCAGATCCGCGACATCGTCCGTGACGACACCCGCGACACGCTAGAATAGAGTACCTGTCAGCATCGACGCGGACAAAGTCATCGCTTGCGCTGTCCTCGGTCTGCCCTTGCACTAGTCAGTGCGGCTAACTCTATCCATCTCCGACTTCTCACGTTGATCTTAGGCGGGCGAACGAGGCACGGCAGCTGCCAGAGACACAGCGTTCTCTTCGTCTCCTTCAACGGTATGAGCTCATGACTGGCACGTCCCCAGACCCTTGTCGGAAACGTGGCGCGGGCTGATCAACGAGTAGCGTTCCGTCGTGTGCGTCCGCTTCTTTCTCTGCTGCTCAACGTTGTAGCTGGCTGTATATCCTGTATTTCCTTGGGGCGGCACAGTAAAGAACCTCTGGGCGTCAGGAAATTTGGCGTGCCCAATTCGCATGACATGAAAGCCCGTTCCCACGCGGCCCGTCCGGTGCCACACTCGTTCCTCCAGAGGGTCACCTGCTGGACTGCTCTACGACCGCAAGGATAAGCCATGCGCGTCTAGCCGACGGGATTGCCTCCCTCGCTCGCTGCTTACTCCCGACCACGCACTCCGAAGAATCACGTCTGCCGACCTTTGCGGCAAACCTTTCCTACGATGAGCGTCCGGTGCCATACACGCTCATCCGGGATGGCGTTATAGTGGACTCTATCATGGCGCTCTGCTTGACACGAGCTCATCTCTTGCGGCTATTAAGACCACAGCCCGCTGGGCCATCGGGGATCTCGCCTCTCATGCGACTCGCACTCTCCCTCGGCGCCGATGGATGGCAACACTGCCCGTCAGATCCTGATCCTTGGAGCACAGAGAGATCACGAAGCCAGTGCAAGTGGGTTTAGCGTGCCTCGCTGCTAGTAGCGCCGTTCTCACCTGCATCGCCTCAGTCGCTGCGATTGTATGGATGACATGGGACACACTCATCAATTTGGGAGACGAGGTGAGCACGACAAGCTCTCGCATAGGACCTTCAAGCTGACCTTGCTTCGCCCTACAGATCGATTATCTTTGGACGTAAGGGTCTTCCACGTCAGTTTCTCATGCGTGGCTAATGGGTATACAGAGGTCACGCCAAGTGGGTGCAATGGATCTATGCATTCATTCGTTATGCGCCTATAATACACGGAGGGTGAGAACACCAGCTACACACGCCAGGTTGAGAAGTTGACCAAAGACGCGGTGACACCCAGTGTCGTACTTAGTCACTACAACACGACAGGCAATTCCCCGTCAAGATGCAGGGCTCTCATCGCATACGAGCTCTCATTCCTCGAGCTTCTCACTATTGCCGTTGAGATCATTCTGGTCATCAGAGGTGTGCCTCGTCATTCCGCCGATCTGCCGATGCTGATGTGGGAGGCAGTCTTCGTGTTGTACAAGCAGAACAGAGTGCTGAAGGCCTTCATCATAATCGCCTTCGCTGCAGAGATCATCTGCATGATGGTCTTCATCAGCTTCGTCATCAAGGGACAGACATTCACGTCCGACTGCCTTGCCGCGACGTCACCTCGAATATTCATCGGCTACTGGTCAGTCATGTCTTCCCTGTAACCTTGAACGTCTCACCAAGTCTCGATATAGGCTGAGCTCTCTGGTCTTCGAGACGTTCCTGTTTGTGCTC